CAAATTTAACATTTTAACTTCATAACTTATTTGAATGGGTTTTATAGGGCCCCATCTCAGGCAAAACTAATTTTGTACAAGTATGGAATGGGTCCCGGGGCCCCTCTTTCAACTTAAAAGAACGAGATCCCATTGAAAAATGGTATCCTACATGGAAATGGTTTCCAATCGGGATCTCACATTATGTATGGATCCCACAGGGATTCCATTGGGACATTGGATTACATTTCGAAAATGGTTCTCAATAGGGTCGGGCTCCTAACGGGATCACATTAGGAAACGTGATACCAATCAGGATTGCGATCCCAATAGGATACTGGATCCCATTCGGAGACGGGATCCCAATCGGGATCGAGATCCAAATTTTGTAGGGATTCCAATGGGGTCGGGATCCCAATGGGCTATGATATCACATCTGGTAACGGGGTGCCAATCAGGATCGGTATCCCAATGGGATCGGGATTCCAATAGTAACGGGATTCCATTGGAAAATGGTATCCTACTTGGAAATGGTATTCTATCGGGAACGCTTACAAAATAAATATTTAATTGTTTTCTAGGAGGCAAATGTATTCTTTTATTTTTTGACTATAGGGGTGGGATTTTTGTTATGTTTTACTTGGCGATTAATTTCAATGTTAATTTAAATGGCTTTAGAAGTTGTTTTACCGAGTGCAATCCCTAGCTACGCCGCGTATATTGGCTAGTATTTCTTTCCTTTCTGACTTAGATAAGTGTCCAGCATTCATGGCTGTGGCTGTCTAGGTTATTTTATAACACGATTCTGTATTCATATGCTAGGGCTGAGCTGACGACGGTGACCAGGCGGTGAGTGGGAAAAAGTCACAGTAAAAAAGTCACGGGAAAAAGTCACAAATCGATCACGCAATCCGTATGCACTAGGTGTAGATTGAAATTTAAAAAAATACGAATGGCGCAAAATATTTCCCCACCAACTTCTGACTGCCTTCAGGCAGTGGCGTAGCTAGGGTTGGTGTCACCCGGTGCGGTCCGCAACCCCCGCACCTGCCTCGCTACGCCACTGCCTTCAGGTGGCAAAGAATTTCTTTGGACTTGCAAATTTGATTGCTGGAGAGCTGGATTGCACTTGTAAGCCCTTGATTCATAACAAAATTAAACACTGATGAGAATTCCATACAATAAACTAACTTTTTATTAAGGATTTGGCGTCATGTGGCATGGAGTTTTATGCTTGATAAAGACATACACTAGTTCCATACATCAAGGTTCGTGCATTATTGCAGGGTTCGATGCTGGGTGCTTTAGTCAAGGAGTGCGAAAAACATCATCATTTAGGCAAAATATATAGACACCAAAAAAAATTCAGAATGGGTGCAAAAAATCAGTCTTTGCAGGGTAAACGCAATTTGTTTAAACATGCCCTTGATAATAAAACTATGATATTTAACATTATCTTCATCATATTATTATAACTCTTTAAAATAGTTTTGATCATATTTTTCTGAAAATTAAAATAGATAATTTGATCATTTAAGTCTAATATTTAACATGGACTTGATTATCTAACTTTTTATTATTTAACCCTGACTTGATCATATAACTCTGATATCTAACATTGGATTGATCATGTAACGCTAATATTTAACATTCACTTGATCATATAACTCTGATATCTAACATTGGATTGATCATGTAACTCTAATATTTAACGTTCACTTGATCATATAACTCTGATATCTAACATTGGATTGATCGTGTAGCTCTAATATTTAACATTCACTTGATCATATAACTCTTATATCTAACATTGGATTGATCATGTAACACTAATAGTTAACGTTCACTTGATCATATAACTCTGACACTTAACATTGACTTATTCATATAACTATGTATTTAACATTGACTTGTTCATATAACTATGTATTTAACATTGACTTGAGCATATAACTATTATATTTAACACTGATTTCATTATGAAACTCTCATATTTAACATTGACATGTTCATGTAACTCTGATAATTAACATTGACTTGATCATTTAACTCTGAAATTTAATATTGACTTGATCATATAACTCTGATATTTAACACTGATATTTGAAACAGTCTATCATATAACTGGTCAGTTTTATCTATTTTATACTTAATAGAGAAATGTCAGGTGACAACCAGGCTTATTTCACTGGTCAGTCAGCAAATCTCAACTAATTATACGATTTTTTTATATACACATAGCGAATAATTACAAACTAACGCACATATTCTGGTGAATGTCTGACATTACTCTCTCACGACCCCGGCTAGTACATTATAATTTTTGCAAAGAGAGTTAATTATATTACTTATTGCGTAAACATACTACACAAATCACGATTATAATCAATTTACTTTAATATATTTTTTTTATAATATGTTTATTAAAATAAAATTTGAACATCAAGGGATCGCATCGAGTTTATTTTCTCCAAGGCGCTGAATTTGCCCTGTTCTTCAAAAATCAAAATTCGATTCCAAACTCCGTTGAGCGACAAATTTTTAGCCGCCGCCTCCAAAATGCCGGATCTACAAATGCCTATTGCCACCACTACCAAACGACCAAAGTTCCCGAAAAATTAGTCTACTGATAAGCAATACCCTTACAAAACTACCACCGTCGTTGTCACGAGAAACGGTCGCCGTGGCAAACAGAGAAGAACTCGATGCACTTAAAAAGGAAGTGGCTGCCTTTGTCAGCAGGGACTTTTCCCACCACTTCCTTTGCAGGTATATGCGATTTATTGTGTTGTGGCATACAAAAAGTGTGTACTAAAAGTAATTTTTCTTCCATGGCGTCGGCATGCAACATTTTTTTTCCTATTTTGGAAGATTGTTGATGGCTCCCTAAGCACATGTCGCCCCGAGCAACTTCCCAGGTTGCCAGTACATTGAGCCGGCTTTGTAGACAGGTGCCAGAGAGCATTTGGGAATCGACAGCGGTTGATAATGGCATGAGAGGGTCAAAATGAGTACATTCCCATTAGAAACTTCAAATATTTCTGAAATTAGTTTTCACATATTTTAAAAATACTTTCTTAAAAACTGGGTACAGAATAGACTACCCAACAGTTAGCCTCGAGTGGGTACCGGGCACACGTTGATATCCCTACTACTATATGAACATATATTTTACTTGATTTGTTTTAAAATTGTGCGTATAGCCTATTGTAATTTATTTCAATTAGATAGAAATATATTAACAACTTAGGGGAGAAAAAACGTTGTACTGAAGAAATGTTTGTCTTACCAGACTAATAAAAGAAGTAAATGTTTGTTATTGATAGACAACGTGATATTTCTAGAAGAAAGGTGTATCTTACTTAACCCTGACTATATTGATTATTGTTTTTCCATTTATTTTGTTCAGTCAACATGTTTAATTTACTTTAAAAAGTCTGACACGTTTAATTGTTTATTTTAAGTATTTTTCATTGTTGATTTCTAAAAATATTTTTACCGTTACTGTAACGTTGCTGTTCTTACGTTTACCTTCGTGGTAAACTCAGCTATTCTTTTTTGTTTTGTTTTAGTCGGGGATTTGTGGTTACAGAACCGTCTTTCGGTTTTATTTTTACCTTATGAGTTGATTTTCCCGAAAAACGAAATTGAGTAATAAGTAATTTATTTTATTTGTCAATGATTACTTGTATTTTATCTGATAGAGCAAAATATTTAAGGAAATATGTAGCTTAACATACAATATTTTACAGAAAATATATTAAAATGATGAAATAAACCTTTTTCTAATGCATATAGTTATTATGTCTCGTTTCCTAGATGTGATTTCCGTCAATTAATATTTTTAAGCAAACTTTGCTTACAAACAACAAAAATGTAAGAGGCCTAGATGCGTACAACAAAATTATTCCTTTCACAATTGAAACAATAGTGATTTGTCTTTTTTTAAAAACTTTCATTTATCACATACGTTAAAATTTAGCGTTAGAAGATAACTATATTATTTCTTTCATTGAAAGGTTGAATGAAGAAACGATATAATATAATTTAAATAATTTCGTCATGTTCTAACTTGTCAATCAATAACAAATTCAACAAACAATTTCAATTATTAATTAATGAATTTTATTTTGTTGATAAGTTGCTAAAAACTGAAAAACTTAAGTAAATTAAAAGTAGGTAAATCACTTGACTTAAGTCACTTCTTAGTACCCAATTCTTCTATCTTCATGATTCAAAATCAAATTGCACTCATCAATGATTAATTTCAAAGCCCTTGCGGCTGCGGGGTGGCTGAAACTAAAAGTAAATTTAAAGTGTTGAAATCAAGTACTATTATTATTATTTAATATACTGTATACATTAAACATGTTTATTAATTAATTTATTGTGTATATCATAAATTAAATAGAAAAGGGAATTAACATTCTCTGCAATTAACTGTTCAGTTAGGAGAATTTTTTTCTGATCCAAAATTCAGCCTGTCTTATCTTATGCCTACAGGCCAAATTTTAGCCCTACGCCTATGCCTATACCCCGTACTACAGGGTAAAGGCATAGGGCTAAAATTTGTTTTCCACCTATTGTTGCCACTCATTAAGTTAGTTGATTAATTAAGAATTTAATTTGCAGCATACCAGTGAGCTGCTCTCTATGGCCTACTTTGGAAACCACTGGCCCATACCTAAACATAACTCCTGATATTAAAATTTTTTTAAAAAGCTTATCAGCCTAATTAATATCCCTAGTATGATTTAAATTTTAAATGTAAAAACCAACAGTTGCTGAGGTTGAAATCAAACCAAATGATAATAAACTATAAAATAAAGTATTTGATAATTGTTTATTTCTAACTGATTTTTATGAAATTTTATTCTTAGTTTAGTTTTGTCATGATCATTTCTTTTTTTTCTTCTCAATTTTATTTATTCAGATAGCCAAACAATTTAAGTCACTTCATTTTGACTGACATTGTACTTGAGCAGCCATTCACCATAGCTTCCACTAAAATTTCATCAGCAATGATTGAAAGCGTCCAGGCCCGACAGCGGGGCGCTTATAATTTTTCTGACCACTATGACAACCTTTGTGCTCTCCAAGATAGTGTGCCACTTCCATCTGTAAAAGCCCACTTGGCTCAAGGGGTCATTGACCTCAATGGAGATCGCATTCGGTAAATGCAATATTTAAGTTTAAAAAAATTACTTCTGGCAAATGTTTAATAAATTTGACTCTTAAAAGTATACATCACACTGTATTAAAAATCTAAATAAAATCATACTTTCTTTCTTAGCCTTACTGACTGGCAACCCATAATAAATAGCATAAAGATCAACAAAAGTCTACAGTTTATTGCTGTGAGGAGCTATTATCAAATCCCACCAGAAGAAGATGGTGAATAATTTTATTTTTAAATTAATTTTAAATTTAGTCACTGTGTTAACCCTATAACTGTCAATTGCATTTTTATGCAATAATAATAATAAGCCATTTTTAGCATCTTCATATGCTTGTCAAAAATGGCAAAAAACCTAGACTAAATGAATTTAGAGACCCTTACAAGGACATTTTCTGAAAGTACATTGGTATCTTATATTATTAAAAGATTTAGTTTTTATATTATAATTATGTATGTGGATTTTGACATCTCCTGAGTGAGGAAAATTTTACTACTCAACTCTTCTGAATTCAACCCAACCTAATGCTCCATAAATTATTCAAACTATAATATAGGTACTCTAATACCAGACGATGCCTGCAAAAAAACCTGCCGGTTTTGGGTGGTAGTATTCTTTGAACAGCCACGAAGGGCGGGTTTCCGTATATGTCAGGCTTTGTCGTTCCTATGCGTCATTTTCTAGAAATAAATAAGTTTCGGTATTAAACTTTATTCGCTGAAGAATTCCAGTCACGATGGTATAAATGCTGTGTCATTCCGACCTGTCTCAGACGAACAGTTGGAGCGCAAACTGTGGGTAAGTTGAAACTCGTCTCTATTTTTTTGTTTGGGGAAAATAAATCTTTATTGAGGGCTAGCTTAATCACATTTACTTTAAAAGCATTTATTGTTTATATTACTGGCATTTTCTAGAATTTATAATACCGAGCGAACAAAAAAAACAACACATGTTATGAAAAAGCAGCGGCCATCTTTTTTTTACATAATTTTATTGACCGGAGGGAGGTAAAATTATTTGGAAATAAATGTTTTAAATATAACACTTTTAAATCATTGAAAAATCTTATTAAACAAAAGTTTTTGATTCTAATATGACTAAACAATATAAATGTATACAAAAAAATAATAATTTGTTTTAAATTAATTGTTTGTACCATTATTCTTTATAAAATAAGAAATTGATAAATTTGCAAAAAGGAATTCCTCTTCTTGAACATAACAATAACAATGTATTCATTAGCTATTGTTATTAGCTATTGTTATTAGATAAACTGCTAGTACTAGTTATAAGAGTGTATTGATAGACCTATAATCACACTAGAATTAAGTTAATGAATAAAATAAATTTTAATACTAGGTTCATTTCATTTATTTGCGTGATTTAATAGCAAACTTTCTTCTTTTTTTTTTCCAGTCTACCCTGGTGCCTAGTTGTTATCCATCCCTGTTTATCTTCCACTGCTCTTTATTAACCTATTTGAAGACTTAAACTCTTTGAAGACAGTGAAAATGGCTGAAGTTAATATTAAAAAAACACTAAATGACTTTGACAATTTTGTGTCAAGGTTCGCTGAGGATGCAGTAATTAAGTGCTACAGAAATGGCTATATTGTCCATGTTTTTTTCAGCAATGGAAAGAACTTTGGGTATGCTACAGAGACACTGGTTAAATGTTTCCAAGAATCAGACAGAAATTATGTGCCAAATAAAAGCGCTGCAAGGACCAGTATACGTGATCTAGTTGATAAAATTAATGAAGGGCTTAATGAAAAATGTTGATGACAGCTGTCGTGTTATAGAAGATTTGCTACTGCGGCCTGTTCATGTACCTATAACTAAGACCAAAAAAAGACCATTGATACCCGATACCACTCCAAGTGGCGACAACATTGAAGAGACCATATTAAATTCACCACCTGTCAAAAAATTTAGAACCGACTGTGAGAAATGCTCTTCTCTCAGAGAAGCAAGCCATTCCAAGTGCAAAAGTTTAGCGGACAGGCTGAGAGAAACAAATACAAAGATTAAAGCTCTTTCTAAGCGTTTTGATCAGAGAGTGTTAAATCAATCCTTTAAACGAAAAACCGAAGTTATTAATAAATTAAGACTAAAGAATAAAATACTGAAGAAAGAAAAAAGTCTCAGATACAAGTGGATAGACAGCATAGCAAATGTACTGAATGTTTGGGCAAAGATATCAAAAGAAGATTTTAGATCGTCACGTCTCTTTGCTTAGAAAGGAAAATGTAGCTTTAAAAAAATAATTAAAATTGAACAATGAAGAGTGAAAAGATTTATTACTTAGAATCGATAGTTTGATAGAGACAGAAAGCAAGGAAGCCATTCCGACTACAAGTGCACTGACCCATTCACCGACTGCAAAGAAACTACAAAGAAAGACCTACACTGCACCAATGAGAAAATGTATCTATAACTGCTTGATAAACCAAGTTCCTATTGAAAGAGCAGGGGTGTTGATAGCATTTACAGTGAAGGAGTTAACAGGGCTGGACTTGACGGACATTCCAGGATCTTCAACCATTGCAAACATGGCTTTAGAGATTGGAATCTTGTCGGATATTCAGGTAGCTGATATCATGTTCTTTTCAGAAAACCACACCTTCTCCTGGGACTCTACGCCAATTGATGGGCAGCATTGTAATGCTTGCCATATCTCTACAGGTGAACAGAACCTGACCATTGAAGTGGCTGGAGTTCCCGGAGGTAAGACAGAGGACTACCTGAACCAACTTGTTAACTCCCTTCAGGATATAGCCACCCTGTATTCTTCATACAACAAGGAGGATCACCATGTTGTGTTACATCGTATCTTGCAGTCCTTTAGTGGCACTCTTAGGGACAGGGCGAAGGTCAATCAATGTGTTTCGATGCAGTTGGGTGATTTGTTGAAATGATTCCAATAAAGAAAGTCTGTGTTGATTTTTTTCAATCTCCAGCATGAGACTTTATCACGTTAACAAAAATAAGCTGATTTCACACCTGATTAAGTCAAACAAAAATTCTTGATAAAAGCATGTTATCAATTAGATAGAACCCTATATAGGAAGCAAACTGATTTAAATGGAGGGATTTCCCCTTAAATCATATAAATAAAACCATTTGCATTTTTAATGCCAATTTTACTAGCAGCCGATTATATTGATTGTGACACAATTGAAATGTGTTTAATGGCCAAAGGTTGACATATATGATAGTTATAGGTTTAAATAAAAGTTTTTGATTAATTCAACAAGCTAAAATTAAGTTGAACATTTTTTCACATATTTTTAATTCATTTTTTGTCAGTTTGTAATTAAAAATTACTGACTCAAAGAAATTATATTGAAAAAAATATTCTCTTTCACCACTGTATATATGTTTTCAATATTAACAAAATATGTATAGCTCAACGTAACAGTAATATGTCTCTTTAGTATCTGTGGCTACGGAAAATAAACAATGAGGCCAATCCTGTAATTGAAATAATCTAAATAAGCAAACTTACTACCAGTTGTAATTTTTTCTTAAAAAGAAAAAGAAAATGTTTATTGATGTATTTTGAATTCACCAACACTGTTAAAGTAACTCAATGTTTATAGATGTAGTTTGAACTCACCAACACTGTTAAATTAACTCAATGTTTATATATGTATTTTGAATTCACCAACACTGTTAAAGTAACTCAATGTTTATAGATGTAGTTTGAACTCACCAACACTGTTAAATTAACTCAATGTTTATAGATGTAGTTTGAACTCACCAACACTGTTAAATTAACTCAATGTTTATAGATGTAGTTTGAACTCACCAACACTGTTAAATTAACTCAATGTTTATAGATGTATTTTGAACTCACCAACACTGTTAAATTAACTCAATGTTTATAGATGTAGTTTGAACTCACCAACACTGTTAAATTAACTCAATGTTTATAGATGTAGTTTGAACTCACCAACACTGTTAAATTAACTCAATGTTTATAGATGTATTTTGAACTCACCAACACTGTTAAATTAACTCAATGTTTATAGATGTAGTTTGAACTCACCAACACTTTTAAATTAACTCAATGTTTATATATCTAGTTTGAACTCACCAACACTGTTAAATTAACTCAATGTTTATAGATGTAGTTTGAACTCACCAACACTGTTAAATTAACTCAATGTTTATAGATATATTTTGAACTCACCAACACTGTTAAATTCACTCTTATGCCACAGCGAAGCGGGCAGCTATCCTGAAAAGAAAGATGCCTTCAATAAGATCAAAAGAGATAACCCACCGCCTTATGAAGGCCTTGAAAGACTGCTTGTTTGTCTCACCTACGCTGTCCTGTATTGAACTACAAGGGTTGGCTCTAAGAGACAGGGACCTGCAAGTGTTAGTTAAGGTTTGAATTTTTAATTCTGGATCTAAGAATTCATGCTTCTGAATTGGTTTCACATAGAGACAAATGTCAATAATATCATAGGTTAGGGACCATCCATTAATGACATCATGCGTCCAGGAGGGTGGTGGGTGCCACATTTTTGTGACAAGGGTGAGGGAGTTAGGTAATGTACCATCATATTAAAAACGGGACATTTGAGAAAAACAACACTCTTAACAACACTCTTAACAACACTCTTAACAACACTCTTAACAACACTCTTAACAACACTCTTAGCAACACTCTTAACAACACTCTTAACAACACTCTTAACAACACTCTTAACAACACTCTTAACAACACTCTTAACAACACTCTTAACAACACTCTTAACAACACTCTTAACAACACTCTTAACAACACTCTTAAAAACACTAAATTACAAACATTTTGAACATTAGTCTTTTATACAACAATTATATTTACTTTTTTTCCAACTACAATCATGGAGAGAATCAGTACAGGTATGCAATGTCTGAAAAATAGCCCCTGACTTAGTTACGGACATCAACTTATTAAACTTGCCACAAATCAATATCTGGACAAGACTCATATTCTGACATTCCTTTGAGACTGACCAAGCAGTCTGTCATATTTCAGGGCTCAATCTTATTTTTTATTTTTCCTTATTGCTGGGGGCGAAGCAGGTTGAAGGCCCAAGAACCTAAACCAAGATAAAAATCTTTCATATCCAACTCAGTCAAAATTAGAAAGCTGTTTTGTTTCTAATAGCAATATATATATATATGCAATATTTTCTACCTGCCATTGTGAAAAATCATCACGATTCTTTGTTAAAAATAAGTATTTATGTAATGTTGTTTACTTTTCTAACATCATTAAAAGTTTTTAAAAGTATTTTTCTGCTTTATATTATATGCCTACCCCAGCCCTTTTCGCAGCCCTTGACTACAATTTTTTTTTCTACAAACATCGACCTTAAATTACCAACTCTAAATAATCACTGATTAAATTATTATTGTCGCTCAAGGAGTTCACTGACGGCTGATTTCTATGCTAGTGAAATTGTTATGATGTCATGTGTTTTTAAATTGTTAAATGATGGGCCTACCCTACCACATATCATGCCCCTAAAATAATTTTTTTCTCTAAAAGTTCTGAAAACTTAATCTTAAAATACAACAAAAACTCTATGTACCATTTTAAATAAAATAGTGATACCCTCTTTAAAAATTAAACAGAATTTTTGCCTTTTTTTCTACCATGTTATCGGAAAATCGTAACGCAAAGAATTCTTTTATCTAAAAAAGAATCTCTTAATCTTTTTTCACATCTGTAACAGCCTTGATTGTCTTTTTTTTACAGAAATGTTATTAATCTCATACCAATACTGTACTTTTCGCAAAGTAACATCAAACAGATATTTTAATTTTTTTAATGAAAATCTTAACTTACATTTTTACGTATAGCAGGTAGAAATTATCGCAAAGGACCTAGCATTATTATCCCGATAACGTCGAGTCATTTATTCTAGTATATGTATATATAAAATAATAATACTTTAAAAATGTTTTTAAAACACTTGCTTATGTCTTTGTGATGAAATGGGTGGGATATATCATCCAAAATTTTTTATTTTCCCAATAACAACATTCTTCAAATAGGTCTTCAAGTGAAGGATGTTTAGTTTGTGTGATGTTAATAGCTTTCTCGCTTAGTCTATTTAATTGGTGTTTGATAGCAGACAATGAATTCCCACACCAGCAGGTAATACTGAAGTTCAGGAGTCTTCCAATTGTTGCACTGTAGAATAAGTTAATAAACTTGTTTTTCTATGCTGAGATTGTACAATTTTTTTTTAATACAGAATTTGGCCATGTTTGTGCCATGTCAGCTTATTATTCATGTTGACAACAAGGTACTTATATGTCTCTACTTGTTCTTTACTTTTATTTTTTATTGTGAGATCTGCCATTGGGTGATTCGGTCTCTGGAAATCAACAAACTCTTCTTTCGTTTTTGAGACATTTAACTGAAGAAAATTCTCTTTGCACCATGTAGTGGGGATATGTATTTTAGTTTTATTTACTTTATGTGTTAACTTTAAAATACATTTTCTTCACTTCCCTTATTCTGAAAAGTCAAAATTTTTCTCCTTCTGCAGGGCATCTCAAAAAGTCCAACCTTGAGACATCTATCTCTGGAGTATTGTAGGATAGGAGACCAAAGCTTGGAAGGTAACATTATATACTTTTACAAAATGTCTTTCAAAAACAAATGCTAACTATTTAGTGTTAAATGCTTGGGGCCCTTTGACATGTTGTCTCTTTGGTCTTATTTTGTTCCCCCCCCCCCCCCCCCCCCCTTTTTACAAAAATTTCTTCAAAAACAAATTCTTACCATTTAGTGTTAAATGCTTGGGGCCCTTTGACATGTTTTCTCTTTTGTCTTATTTTGTTCCCCCCCCCCCCACCCACTTCTTGCTCATTCACAGACATAATTTTGTGTCTTTCTTTCATTGCAATGATTGCTTGGTGCAGAATGCCTATTTCCAGCATTTGCACAAATTTGTTTAGTCTGCAATAAGGCTTCACCCTACTTTATTATAGTCTTGTATCCAGTTTCATTTGTCTCTATTTCTAGTCCTTGTCATAACCTAGATATTAACCCTTTGTTGCTGAATTTGTTTGCCTATACCTGTGATGTTAAATAGAGAGCGAAGCCATTCTTTCAAGTTTAATCTTAGCTACTTTCACAAAAACTTTTTAAAAACATCTGTTAACTTTAAATATTCTGATGTACATACTTTGTTGGAACATTCCCATTGTTCTTAAAATTACCAGCAATACCGTATTTCTTCCACAAGGCCAAGTTGTGGCTCTCTTAAATTCATTTCTTATGGAAGTAGAATGTACCTTCTGACTTTCAGAGTCCCTTGCATGGAGGCTGCCAACTCAGTCATATGAAATTTACCAACAAAAATTTTTAATCTCAGGGCTTTTTACAGATGAACATCTGGGAGGTGATACCCTGAAAAATTTGAACTCACTGTCCCCTGGTTATTATTCTGTCATGTTGTTGTCATGCCACGTATTGAGTTAGCTCAAACAGTGCGGTACCTGGGTGTCTACCTAGACAGAAGACTAACCTTGGAAAGTCAGATTAACAAGCTATGCAAGGTGATTTTTCTAGAGCTGCGCAGGATAAGTCACATCAGGCCCTTTCTAACAATTGATGCAACAAAGAGGTTGATGTCTGCATTTGTGCTATCACGCATGGACTATTGCAATGCTCTCATGGTGGGTCTTCCAGCTACGCTCCTGGATAAAATTCAGATAGCACAGAATAATGCGGCGCGCATTGTTCTCCGCAAACGCATGTTTAACCATGCAAAAACACTTCTGAGAGTGCTGCACTGGCTGCCGGTCCGTGCTCGCATAGAGTACAAAATCGCAACGTTGTGCTACCGCTGTTTACATGGCCTGGCACCGTCCTATCTGAAAGAGCTGCTGACGCCTTATGTACCCACTAGACAACTCCGCTCATCCGACAGTGGCAAACTCTTGACACCACGTGTTAGCCTTGAGACTTGCGGAAAGCGCACTTTCGCATTTGCTGGTCCAACAATTTGGAATGCCCTTCCAGTCGATCTCAGAAACAATCAGACACCGATTTAAAGACACATTTATTTCGCAAACACCTTGTGGGATGATTGTCTACCATATTTTCCATTTAATGCATATTAGCTGTGTTGCTCAGGGTTGAAATGGGTAGAAAGACTTTGACATTGTATGCTTGTAATTAGGTTTTGTAGTGTTGCGTTTGTTTTAAATGGTGTAAATTATAAATTTTTTTAAATTATTTTTTTTACTCTTGTACTGTGCTTCGAGCCTTTGGGGATGAAGCGTGTTTTTGAAATACACTTTATTATCATTATTATTATGCCGCAAAGACTTTATTTTTAATTGCCACTGTGCTCATCCCTGACACGCTGCTATGCAACCAGAGTTTTAGGTCTCAACACATAGTAGTAGAATAAACACATTTAAAAAAAAAAAAAAATTAGATAAATTTTCAAACATTTTTCAGTTCTGTGCAAGGGACTTAAGAACACTAAGAACATCAACTCTGTCAACTTGACTGGCTGCAGTTTGTCCCCCAGAGGAGCTGAGGCCCTGGCTGCCGTCATTAAGGTAAGGAAAAGTTTAATTCTCAGTCTCATCTTGTCAACCTTGTTTCCACATCTTATCCTGTATGCCAAACTTTCATTGTGGGTCCAACCTGTTATCCTAGATGCATCGTTTCATCCAGGGTCCAACCTGTCATCTTTTATCCCAACCCGTCATCTCTGCTCTGACAGATCAACTTGATTTGAACTTGTCATCCTTGATCCAAACCTTTCATCCTGGTTTTATCTTGTCATCTGATCTCCAACCTGTCACCCTGGGTCCAATTTATCATCCTTGATCCCAATTTGTCATTCTTGGTCCAACCTGTTTTCCTGGGCCAAACCTGTCATAGTTGTCCCTCCCCCTGGTCCAACCTGTTATCCTGGTCCAATTTGTCATACTTGATCCAACCTGCTCTCCTGGGTCCAACCTGTCAATCAGTGATGTCCTTTATCCCGTTATCCTGAGCTATTGCTTTGTTCCACCCTCTTATCCTATTATACAACATATGCTAATAATGAATCTGACTCTGTCAATGTGGTCCTTACACATGTTCAAGTATAGAGACAAAGATAAAGGCAAGTTCAATTCAGATTCAGAGTTGTATACAGATAGACAAATGAATCTAATACACCATAGAAAGTAGCTTTAAAATGTACCTCACTAAACCTTCAGAGGAAAAGAGATGCTCTCAGAAAAAAAAAATTAATCTGTAATTTGATCAGGGCGTCATTCCCCTGTGAAG